CTTTCTAGTGCTCTGCCTTTGGTTTCAAATGTGCTGGTTTGGTGTAGATTTTCTTGTATTTGTGCAGCCATGTATCCATTTTTGATTGAGAGCTCAGTGTTAATAGTTTTTCCCTTCAGGTTTGAGAAAGAGGATGAAACCCACAGTCATTCAGGAGATGCAACTGCAAATGTGTACGATCACTTTAGTGAAACACAGACGGACTCTCAGGTTCGAGATTGTTTTTATTCATATCAAATTCTTACAGATGCTCCTCATCTGAACTCATTTCAACTGAAATTTTATTCTCTTTTAGACATTGGCTGCTCTCGATCTGTGTTTGAGTTTCATATATTGTTCACTCTTTTTCTTACTACTATTGTTCTGATGTCTTCATATTTACATAATGTCACAATTGTAGCTATGTATTCTTCATTGCAGGTTGTTGGATATGCAGAAGATTTGTCTGGAAGACAAATGATTATTGATAGAGTACGAACAAGGAGTTCTGGATTGACTTGACCTGGGATTTTAGCGTCTTTGCAGGGTAGATCACTTTCAAATCTTGGTTATTAGTTGATGGTGTTTCTGAGCTCTTCTTGCCACAGAAGTACAATAGAATCCAATTCAGACAGGGGTGACTAGTGACTCAAAGCCGAAGCAGTGGTAGCCAATCTTCTCTATGCCAAGATTCGATCACCAAAACGAAAAAAAAAACATTTCTTTCCCACACCATGATGGCTCTTAACATCCCTGCCCTTAGAGTGCTGCTTCACGAGTGCATTAAGTGAAACATCCCTTTATATACGTTGGGATTTTTCTTAACGTGTGTATTTTATGTACAAAATCTGCAATATGGAAATGTAATTAGGTCAAGTAATGGTTTAAAACTTTTCCTTTTAAAATAGTTGTCTATTTGTACTCATTTGTAAACAACCAATTAGGGAGGTATTCGTATCTCAAAGTTCATACATCATTCACATGAAGAGCAAGCTCTTTGCTAATTGATGAGACGGCGACATATTATAAACTTGTCTGCAAACCAAATGGCTCATATTAACTGTGTATCTAAGAGTAGCCTTCAATCCAAAAGTTGGTGCGTTTTGATTGTCCAAGAGACAAATGTATAACGTATTCTTTTCGATTGTCCCCACTTTCAATAAAGAAAATCTAGGTACATCTTGCTTGAATGGTAGTGATAAGAACAAGACAAATGGAGGAGCAAGAAATTATTACAAAAGAATGTGAATCCATGAGCTTTATCCGTTATTAACTAGAGATCCTAAGTTTGAAGAAATGTTAGTAGAAAATACTTTTTCGATTCCTTTAGTAGGTCTTACATAACAAAAAAAAGAATTAATGGAGCAATTACCTTTCACATTCACATAACGAAGGATTATATTTTCATTTACAAAAGTGGGAGAGGGGAGGGACGGGACAGGAGTTATGCACTTTCCTTTGGTCGGTGGAGGCATGGAGGGGAAAAGTAAAATGCTTTTCAATATTTTTGATGTGAGACATAAATTTATTAAAATTATAATAAATAGAACATACAACAAGTTCTACCCTAAAAACCTTAAAGATTAAACTCATATCCTCATAGAATTAAAATCCTAAATCCGCCTTTGCAAATAGCAGTTCTAGAAGTTTACAAACAAAGCAATATCAAGTTATGGTGCATGGATGAAATGAACAGTATGCTGAATCTTGACGAATCCTCTACCATAGACTAACTGCAATAACCGACCCTCCAAAAAAGTAAATAATTTTTAAAAAAAGTATGTAACACTTTATTCTTCACAAGGAGCCTTCAAGTGAGGAATTAATTGATATTTCACTATCTAGTTGTCTAAATCTTTCTTATTGTTAATACTAGTATATTAAGCTAACGTATCTTTGGAGCGTACCATATTAGTGGTCCTCCCTACCCAAATTAATGCCTTTTATTTCTCTTACTGATATTATTTGAATGACCTGATACTATAAAAAAATATTTATGCATTCAATAATTATACAATATCTTCACATACATGATTATTACTCTAAATGATAATGAATTAATTTTATATGTTCACATTTATGTGTTATTCAATTAACCATAATAGGTTAATAATTTCTTCATCCAAAATCAAGCCGTTAAGACTCGAGACTTGGTTACCTTAATGTATGGGGCAAAAGGGTTACCAAAATTGGACTACTCATTCCTTTGTTGGAATCCTACCAAATAATTGAGGTGGCTTCATGTTTGGTCCAAAAAGTTGAGAACAGGCTGTTTGGGGACCCAATGAGAAACTTGTTTTCATCAACTTCTAATTTTGTTTTAGTCCAAGTAGCCGTTGCACCACCCTAGCCTCCTTAATTACTACTTCATTCGTCCGTTCATCTTTACTTGTCCACTATACTATTTTGAAATGTTTAATACTACTTGTCTAATTTACAAAATCAATGAATAGTTTATCATTTTATGTTTATTTTATCCTTATTATTAAAAACTATTCATTTTTCAATGTTTAGGTAACTTATACTTAATTTAATAAAGGTAATTTGGTAAAATTACCCTTATCATTTACTGTTTCTTAATTCCTGCGTCAAGTCAATAGTGAACAACTATTAGTATTTAGTATTAGACAGAGAAAGTACTTCCTCTTGGTTTTTTATTTGTCCATCCTAACTTGATACATTTTTAAAGAAATACTTGTTGTTGTCCTTATTAAGAATAAATGTTTTTTAATACTTGTCATTTTACAAAATCAATACATAAATAACATTATTCTTTCTATTTTGCGCTCAATAGTTATTAGTCTTGAAAGTATGAATTTGACCAACATAGAAAAACTAAATGAATAACTTATGTTTATTAGTCAATTTAATTAATCAAAATAAATTAATTTATGTTCATCTATTTAAAAGTTTAGCTTCAAGAGAACACTGAATAAGGGTACAATGATAAACTTACCTAATTTTTTAAGGAATGGAAAATCTAAAATGGTGACATATAAATAGGAAGGGAGGGGTACTAATAAATGATATAAACAATTTTACTATTCTAGTCTTTTAAATATATTTTCTTAGTTCATATTTACTTATTTATATTTAACTTGTCACAATATTTAAAACGTAATAAATAGAATAATAATTTTATTATATCACCCCTAATTATTATTTTTATAGCATAATCTTTCTGGCAAGAAATCCGTGCTCCTTTTCACCCTCAACGCTCCTCTTTCCCAAACTACACTTCCCCATAATTCCAATTTGTACTTCACATATCTACCCCTTTTATATTATGGATTTAAAATATATATATCATCCTTTGAGTTTGTATGCAATATTTTTGGACATAATATATAAATGTGCCTTTTAATTTGATCTTGATTGACTTTTACATTAGGAGTATGTAAAAATCGGACCGATTGATAAATCGAACAAAAAAAATGTTATTGATTTATTGCTATTGGGTTATTGAGTTAATGAGTTTTAATGGTTTTATTAAAAAAAATATCGTTATCGATATTTAATGTTGGTTATTGGATAAACCGATAACCTATTAAGACTGCAATACTTTACTACTTTATCAATATATAAATATTACATATTAACCTCAATACCTTACTAGTTACTGCATTTACTCTTTAGCCTTTAATTCACATTTTACAGTGATTGACTTTGAGTTCACAACTTCACATTACACAAAATGTCAAAACCTAAAGTGAGAACCATACTCTCTTAATTTCTCTGTGTTACACTTGTATAGTTCTTTTCAATACTTTTCATGTTAGTTATTGTTGTTTCTATTTTATGAGCATTTGTAAAGTTACATTATTGTCTTATCGCGCCAAATTGTTTGAGTAATCATATATTTATTTTCTAAGCATTTTCTTATTGGTTAAATAAAAATTCGAACCGTTAAGGACCAAAATCGATAAAAATATTTATTGATTTAGCGTATTTAAAAATAAAAATTGATAAATCGAACCGATAATACATAAAATCAAATCGAACCAACGGATGAACACACCTATTTTACATTATTTCTTTCTTTTAGTCATTATTGTGTCTAATATACACTTCTTCCTTGAAAATTATATCACATGTATCTATTAAAGCATGACATGTGTCATAACTCAATATAAAAAAATATATGTACTTATCACCAAATTTGGACCGATCAAATAAAATACATTTTTAACTCTTTACGCACTTTATTTTGTTGGTAAAAATACACATTGTCTGCATAGATAAAGTGGTATATGTATTTAAACACACTCCAGAAACATTTGGTGGGTAAAGATTTTCTATATTAGGGTGTTTAATTGGCGATAAACTATATTTTAAGCATATATTATATGAGGAAGTTAAGATTATTATGGAGTTTAATAAAGAGAGAAACAATCCTTTTACGCAATAAAAAGTACTCTTAATATATTCAGTCTTTAATTTTTTTTTATGTTTATGAGAGTATATTATATAAGGTAAAATGAGAAACTTAATTAGATATCATTGATTACCAAATAAAAAATTATGAATTACTCTTTAAGAATTACAATTAGACCAGTGTGCCAAATCATCATAATTTATCATCTATCATTATAGAAACATGAGTTTTTCAGTTTTAACAATTTCACTATTTCATATTTCTAATTTCTAGAGTCAATTATTATTATTTTTTATCGAAATTTCTTCATATGTCTGCCTTAAAAACATTTTAAGTAGTACTCCATATTGTCATGTACCTTTTATATAATTTTATTTCAAAAAACTTAAAGTTCTTAGGTCTAAATTCACAATCACGCTTTAAAAGTTTGTATCTTCAAATTTTAATAATGTCGTATAAATTAGGATATCGAAAAAACTATTGGTTTCCTTTTAATTCCCACAAAAATCATAACGTCTCTCTGATATACTAATATTTTCTTTCTATTTCTATAACGTCTCTCTTTATAAAATCTCACTATTTCGGTTTTTTATTAAAAACTCCATCTTTTTACTATTCCTCTCTCACCATCTTCTTCTTCATCTCTCTCTGTTTCATATACAAAAAAAGAAAAGAAGCTATGCTTCAATCAAAGCAAAAAAGTTTTCCACTTTCATCAATGGCATCACCAGCCTACACAACTCCATTGTTATCCGAATCATCAAACAGCATAATAAGCACCACAAGCAGCAGCAGTGAATCAGAAGAAAGCCCGGAAACTTCGCAAAGATTTCAAGATTTCCAATTATTAGATCTTCAATTCAAGATTTCAAGAACCCCCATTTCTTGTTTTCACTCTTACAAATCCTTAGCTGTTCTTTCAGGCCATGTAGGAACAGTTTCTTGTTTAGCCCTTTGTGGGGAATTCATCCTCAGTGCTTCTCAAGGTAAAGATATAATCGTCTGGCAACAGCCTGATTTACGCCAATTTACGAAATTTGGAACAGGGGATGGCTCTGTTAAAGCACTTGTCACTATTGGCAACAAAGTTTTCACAGCACATCAAGATTCCAGGATTCGTGTATGGAAAGTTTCGAGAAGATCAGAAAATGTTTTCAGATTAATCGATACATTGCCTACAACAAAAGATTATCTTGGAAAATTCATGAAACAGAGCAATTATGTTCAGACAAGAAGACATCATAAGAAACTCTGGATTGAACATGCTGACAGCATTTCTTGTTTAGCTGTTTCTAACGGCTACATTTACTCAGGTTCTTGGGATAAAAGCTTGAAAGTGTGGAGAATTTCTGATCTGAAGTGTTTGGAGTCAATAAAAGCACACGACGACGCGATAAATGGATTAGTCGCTAGTAAAAATGGGGTTGTTTATTCAGCTTCTGCTGATGGAAAGATTAAAGCTTGGAAAAATAGTTCTGGTACACATTCACTTAAGGGTATTTTGGAAGGTCATAAAGATGTTTCTTTGAACTCTGTTGTGGTTTCTGAAGATGGGGTTTTTGTATATGGTGGAGGATCAGATGGGTATGTAATGGGGTGGGTGGGTAACAAAAATCTTGATAGTTGGAAACTGATATGTGAAGTGAAAGCACATGAAATGGCTGTTTTGTGTATGTGTTTGATGATGGGTGAATTTTTGTGTAGTGGATCAGCTGATAAGAGTATTTGTATATGGAAAAGAGAGATTAATGGAGGGTTGTTTAAATTTGGTGTTATTAAAGGACATGAAGGACCTGTTAAGTGTTTACAAGCTTCAACAGGTAGTGTTGGGGGTGGGTTTATGTTGTATAGTGGGAGTCTTGATAAGAGTTTAAGAGTTTGGTGGATTCCAAAGTATGGTGATGGTGATGGTGATGAGAAAAAGGACTCATCTTTGATCACAAAGTGAAGATTTTGTCAAGTTTTTTTTGTATTTCGTAAGGTTTGCGTACACTCTATTGATTTTATTTCATGAGATTATACTGAATATGTTGTTGTAGTGTGGACATTGGTTATACTGTAGTTGTTTTTGTGAGTTTATATACTTACTGTGTATTTGAAAGAGTTCAATTTTTTTGTTGTTTTAGTGTTTTTGTGTGTAGTGTGAGTGTTAGGAACATTGAACTAAAGAGTTGAGAGAAATTGAGTTGTTGTTTTTCTATCTTTTGATTCTTTTATCATCATATGTATTTCTTGAGAATTGTAATTAGGTCAACAGAGTGAAGTATACATCAATAAAAGATAGAGAACAAGTTGAGAGAAATTGTGTTGTTTTCCATCTATTATCATCATTTTTTTTTTTTGGTTATAATACGTAAGTATGTCATTTATCTTGACCTGATATATATGTCCTTCAAATTTGAATGTGTACTAGTAGACATTTAAAATTGTATATATAGAGTTGAACAAGTAAAGTCGGCGGGGGGGGGGGGGGGGGGGGGAGCTTTCAAAACATAGTTTCTCTACCTTCTCGAGTGAATGGTAAGGTATGCGTACACTCTACCCTCTCAGACCACATTTTGTGGAATTTCACTGGGTATTTTATTGTTGTAGCATAGAGTTAAACAAGTAGACGCATATGTCACACTTGACATCCTACATGGCGATTTCCGTCATACATGACATCCCACAGACGTTCTAAATGTATTATGTCATGTATGATGCACGTGTCTACTTATTTCAATGCCTAGTTATAAACACCCATTATTAAACAACATAAATATCAGAAACCAAATTAAAGAACATAATTATATATTATGCCTGGTTTGTTTTTAAATATTTCTTGAGAATTGTAATTAGGTCAACAGAGTGTAATAGATATCAATCAAAGATGAGGACATTTGTTTTATCTATTGACATTAGTCTATTTAATTCGTTAGCTTGTGCATCTTATCATCTACTTGTTCAACAACCATCCCCTTCATGTTCATTTAAAAGTGATACTTAATGGTTTAAGTTATATATTTAAGTATATTTTAGGAGAATTATGTTACATCAAATTATCTTACTTTATATTTCAAGTTATTAGATCATATTTGTTATAAACAATACAAGTTCTTTACAATTATATTAACGATATTATAATTTTTTCTATACATTATCATGCAAAAAATTTAAATAATAAAGGAATCAAAAGGCAATAAAGCCAAAGGGGACAAGGGTTCTCCCATAAATGGAGTGAATACTACTTTATTCAATGCTTTGTTGAAACATAACAAAGACAATTATCAACAAGGGTTCTAATATAGTGGTAACTATTTTTTTATCCTTAATTTGAGGTTTGAATTTGGGTTCCTTTGATATGGAATTGCCTTTGTTAAGGAATGATTTACTCTTAATGTAGAACTTTTTGAAGTAAATCAAATTTAATAAGATTTTAATGCAAATATCGAACATCGGGTGAAAAAAACCATAACCATTTGGAGCCTTTTGTTGATAAATACCTTTTAAAATTATTTACACATATTAAATTTGTAACCAACAAGATTTTGAAATTATTTGCTATGTCATGTTGTATATTGAGGGTTTATCTAAGTTTGGTTAGTTATGTAGAAATATATTTTTAAGATTGTCAATAGTTTGGTAACAAAATTTTCTTTTATTATTATTTTTTTAATTTAGTGGATAAGTAAAAGCGAATGATGGATCGGAAGAAAAGAAAATTCTTAAATTATGTGATCAATCAGATACAACAAATTTTGAATAGTTAGCACACATCTCCATGAAATTCATAGGGAAGCTGCCCCAAATCATGTGATACCTATCCCACCATCATTAGACAAATGAACTTTTAGGATTCCTAGTTTTTTGTTTAAGAATTAACCTAAAGTCTTAACCAATAATAGGGCTGCTCTTTATTCTTCATTTCTTTAATTAATCTAGTTTTAATTTACTAAATGTTGTTATTTCTTGTCCTTTCTCTTTTAACCCTATTAAACTTATAGGATAATGATCATGTTGCTATTACCAAATAAAAATAAATAATTAAGTGTTTACTTGGTAAGAATTTCAAAATTATTGTTCAACTAATCCACCATATTATTTTATAAAAGCAACAATATAATTTCATGTAAGATTTAATACTTTATATATAATAAAACATGAAGTTTTGCGACTTAACTAACTCAACGTTTATATCAAGCTAATAAATGTATATGACCTGACATGGCTTTGTATATAAATTTTTAGTACTTAATCATGTTAATCAACATGTATTCTCCGCTCATTAAATGAACACTTAACTACTATTTTCTCCGTCCCAGTTGATCATTATACTCAAAATAATTGTTCCATATTAGTTGGTCTATCTTACTAAATCAAGAAATCATTATTCAATTTTTCTCTATATTACCCTTACAATTAGTTCTTTTTGAAAGTGTTCACATTTATATGTAAAATTCTCAAGAAGTTATGAACAATGATCAACTAATATGAAACAGAGGGAGTATATTGGATTGAGAGGGGGAGAGGGTTGAGTTGGTTTTGTTGTTGCTCATTGAATTTCATCATGACTTGTTTTCAACTACTATATTGGTTGTATTTATGTCCATGAATTCAATTACAGACACCTAGTATATTCACTTGACTCAAAAAAGTACAACCACTCTTCATTAGCTTCATGTGTGTGACTAATTGCTACAAATTATTACTTCTGGATTGACTCCCAATTCCCTACCACTTTCTATATGTTTGGTATGATGGAAATTATTACTTTTTTTGCTTCATTACTGAGTGAAAACTATTTTATTCAAAAATATATACTCTCTCCATCCCAAAAAAATTGGCTTGTCAAACTAACTAATGTATGTTTATAGTGAATTAATTAGATGTAGAATCTTTAATTTTTCTGAGATGAAATTTACTTAGTTAGAAACTACATAAGAAGTAGTACGATATGTTGCAATACAATTAAAAATATTTAATAAAAATTATAATAAAAAAATATATTTTTGACTGTCTGAATTGTAACTTAGACAATATTTTGGGACGGTGGGAGTATATATAGCACATAATGATTTATTTATGTCTTTTTTCTTGTGTTTCTTTTCATAATTAATTTAGAGCTTAAAATGGTTATGAAAATTTGGTTATCCAACAGATTTTCCATTAACTACACAAAGACAATTACTAAAGGGCCGATTTTTTTAGTATTCAAATTAAGAATCGTATTTACACCAAAATAGCAATACTTCTTTTTTCATTCATATAGCAAATTTTTTTTTAAAAGTAGAATTTAAATTAAAAAATAAAATTTCCAAATCAGCCACGCTTATCACTATTTCCATAAATTTCTCCAATTATTTTACCTTCCTTATTTATTCAAATTTGTTATATATTATCTTCCAATAGAGGTTTCCTACCAAAACAAAACTCCCCTTCTCTGATAGGAATAACTATCGAAAAATGAATACCAATAATTTTTCAATTCCAATTCAACACAACGGACGATGGGACTCATCAGGTAATTGTATAAAATAGTTCGCATGGTGTTTTATTACGTGGTTATATATGATTTATCACAAATATCTATTTTGTACTTTTCGAGAGTTATTCGTTTGGTTTAGTTTGTCTATTTTGGTGAAATTGAATTCATCTAATTTGGTTTATGTTCTGGATCCTCAAAATTTTGGTTTAATTACAATAACTACATATGATTTGGTTGTAAACTGAAGTGTCAATTTTTTATATATTAAAGTTTAGGTTTCATATGATTTGGTTCGAAAGTATGTTGCATTATTGTTCGTATTATAGTTATTAAGTTGGTGTATATAATATAATAATTAGAAAAAAAGGTTCATATATTGATTGGTGGTATCCTAATAAAATATAAAATTGAAAAATTTGAATTGGTTTGTGATCTGGTACATATGATGGTATATTTGTTGCTACGAACTGACACCAAACTAATAGTCTGATGTATGTATCAATTTGAAAAATTGAATTGGTATGTGATATGGTACATATGATGATATATTTGTTGGTACGAACTGACACCAAGCTAATAGCCTGATGTATGTGTTGGTGTATTTTTTGGTCCAATTTATATTGGTGTATTAGACATATGTTGTTAATGAGTATTTTGTTATCTGCCACCAATTTTTTTTTGAATTTTGACTAACAAATATTTGTAATGTCGCAGGAAAGTATCTGAATTTCAAGATTGAAGGAATGATATGATGTGGACACCAATTACCAAGACTTGATTAATACTACTGCTTTTCAATTAGGTGTGGACACAATCGTTTTTGAGTTGGAACTCAAATATGTTGTGACTGATCCGTTTTCACCATTGAAGATTCATAGTTTTGAAAAATACACCAAAAAATCAACTTTAGATACACCAAAGTGTTTTATGTATATTTGAGTATATATTGGTGAATAAGACTTTGTAATGGTTAAATTGAACTTTGTATATAAATTTTTGTAGTAATTATATTAATAATATCTTCATTTATTTACAGATCGTGCTAAAACGTTTATGACATATGTAGTTGTGAAAACTTTCAACATGATGAAATTTCTTATAGTCATGCAATTGTTGCTATCGGATACAATAGCAAACATGGTGAAAACTATTGTTCAGCCTATTACAGTAATAAAGATTTTCAAAACATTTATGCAATATCTATTGATATATAGTAGTATATTTAAAAGGTATAAAATAGTAATAATTATTGGTATAAAATAGTATATTTATATATAGTAGTAAAATAATTATTGGTAAAATGATGGTTATATAATTGATATGTATTTATGTTTATCTATTACATGGTTGCATATTTGGTGAAACTACGATACAGTTGTAATTGTGAAAACACTATGCATACTTGATGAAACCTACATATTTTTTACCTAGATGAAAATAATGGTAAAAATGTGAGAGAAGGCTTCCATTAATAATATGATTTGATTG